TTAATGAATTTTTAATGAGCATCAGACTTATACAAATGAGCATATGTAACTTACAAGATGAGCATTGATATGGAAAGTGTAAGTTTTATTCGTTGAGCATCAAGACATTTTCAATGAGCACCAAACCTCCGTTATTGAGTATTAGAATCTGCGATTGAGTATCATGATTTGTAGTCTCATGTCTATAATCAACTCTTATATAAATCTAATAATGTAATATGAGACTTTTGAAATGTGCATTGTTAAAACATTTTAAAAATGAGCGCAACAGAGATACTAAATGAATATACATAATTTACAAAAATGAGTATTCGAAAATTCAAAAGCTCATTCACGTATGTTCATTTTTAGGCGTTTTACTCATTTGAGTTTAAGGTAAAACTCATTTCTAATGTGCTCGGTATAATATACCACCTCCGTTCTTTTTTATTAGTCCTTCTTTTCTTTTTGGGACGTTTTTTTATCTGTCCTCCTTTCCATTTAAGGAAAGTTTTTACTCTAAATATACTTTTATACCCCAACTTTTATTACCATTACCCCTTTCTCTTTCCTACTTTTTCATTTACCCACTACTCATTACACCTTTTACACTACCCCTACTACTTTCTTCTTAAAACCCGTGCCAAAGCCTAAGAGGACTAATATTAAAGAATGGATGGAGTATATAAAAAGAAAAGAAGTAAACAACAAATAAAGAAAGTAAAAGAAGTAAAAAAAGAGAAAGTAAAATCAACCAGCAAAAGTAAAGAAAATAAAAAACAAAAAGACAAAGTAAAACATAAAAGAAATGAAGCAGTTCAACCAAAAAAAAAACGAAGTAGCGAATGAGTACAAAAAAAGAGTAAGGAAGCAGCGGATAACACATGTATGAGCCGCTGAAAAAAAAAGGTGAATTAAAAAAAAAGGCAGCGGCCAATGACGAGCGTGAGAGTGGAGCACGGAAGGATGAAGCTCAGTCTATTTAATTACAAAAAAACCGGGTGTACATACACCCGGATGTACCATATAATTTGCGCCCAATCACTTGAGTTTAGTCTCATCTTGTCGGAAAAGTTGGTTAGAAAGTTTCAATATAAATTCAATCATTTTCGTGTATACGTTTTTTTGTACACATCATTCTACATACTAGTGGAATTGTTTGTACACCGAAAATTTCTTTTCATTTTGTGAAGAGAATTATTTTTCACATTGATAATTTTTTTGTGTCAGAAGTACAAAAAAAAGTGTTAGTGCGAAAAACAATTCTCTTCACACAAAACAAAAAAAAAAACTGTCTGTGAAATAACGTGTACAAAAAACATGTACCAATAGCATTTTCCATATGTATTTTCATTGATAAAAGATCGTCCTAGAAAATACATCAATAACAAGGGTTAAAATAAGAATAATTTCAAATATATACCTAAGATAAAAGTGGTGGACAAAATGTGATTATGACAACTTTAATATCTATAATTGGATTCAAATTAAATATTACGAGTACATCATAGTGAAACATCTAGGGTGAGAAAGTTGTCTTGCAAAATGGAGTAATTGAAGTGATTTTAATTTGGTGACAACTCCGGTACCCACTTAAAAAATGGGGTACCGTACCTACCATGCATTTGATTGGTCCAAATCATTATATGCTTTTTAATTTAGATTTAAATAATTCGACTGCATCATTCTTATTGGTCCATTTGGACAAAGGTACGGTACATTTGGGGTACCATAGAATCTACCTTTTAATTTTCATGAAATCCAGTAATTGAAGGTCAACTGGCCGGGTACAATGGTGGACGTATCCACATTGTGCCCCACATCCTTCCAAAAAAGTTGTATTAGAATTGATTTCAAATACGAAGTATACAACTGAAATAAAAGTAGTAGACAAAAACGTAACTCTAGTAATTTAAGTGATTATAATTATATTCAAATGTTACATCCTAATGACTATAAAACTTATTCATAGTAACTTACAATCACATTTCTATCCATAGATTTTTTACTAATAATATTTTAGACAAACTCTATTAGAATAATCATCCAGAGTACATACAATTACAATGTATGTATATATAATACTATTATAAAACTTAAAGAATGGGTTGGTGGCAGGGGGGAGATAGGGGGTCAGGATGGTCAGTCGACTCCGCTGAAAGTTCGAGAATGTAGAGCTTTGAATTACCTTCGATTTGATATATTATGGGCACCGTAACTCACAGTAAAAAGTTACGACTTCTGGAAAAATTAGCATCATCCGAACTTGAAATGAGCAAAACTTGATGTGTGATATTGATTATATTCTTAAATTTAAACACAAAACACTTTATTTAGTAAAATTATGACATAAATATCTACATAATAACTAAATAGATCTCATTAAAGTAGCATTTATCCCAGCTACATATGAAACATTTAACTCAAGTATAGTTTAATAACGATCCTCCATTTTGATATTGTTAACAATTAAATTTCGACCCCCTCACATGTTTTTCTGGCTCTGCCACTAGTTGGAGGGGTGGTAGTTTGTGCTGTTTTAAAAGTTCCTTGCACATATAGCCACATAGGTATAAAGGTCAAAGCCCCCAGACAACTTTTGTTATTTCTATTTTTTATTTTTTATTGTTTCTAAAACTATAAGGCAATCACATATCCGACCTAAAACTGTAAGGATGTTTTTATTTGGACTGAAATTTGCTAGTCTGGTCTAGTCTGTCTGTTTATGTTTGCTCTGATCTGAACTGGTCTGGTTTGGTAAATGTCCGATTTCTGTGTATTTTAATTATAACTATGAAAGTCTGGTTTGGTCTGTTCAAGTTTGATATGGTCTGATCTGGGACTGAAAACAATCCAAGTAAAAGCATCCTAAACCACAGTTGGCGACTCCTCGACTCCTCCAGACCTCCCGCCCAGCAGCCCAGGTTTACATAATTCATTTTTAGTAGTTATTAAAATTTCTTGTAATGTTAAAATTGAATTATTAAATTTATGATATTTATAAATGCTTTTTTCAATACTTTATGATTTATGATGAAAAGATATTTCAATAGTGCACCAAATCTTTAAGAAAATCGAAGTACCAGGAGCAGTTCGGATGTAAATTCAAATGATTCACCATAATTAAATGAAGAATTGGTCAAGTGATTGATGAATATGATGTTAGTTTGAATTGAATGATAGATGAACAACATGTTGACTGTAAATCTTTATAAGATGATCTTGTATTGAGCAAAGAAATTGTTGGTTTTCATCCCAATGATCAAGATGGAGTGCATCATAGTTACCCTAAAAGGGTCGTATATTCTTTATTAATATTATATTAATTAGAGTTACATTATTAGGGACCCACAACTCTATTTTTCTGAGTCCACCATTAGCTGAGTTCCTGAAAAAATCACTTCATGTACTTTTTCAAGAAAAAACATTTCATATGTTTTTCTCATGTATTTTTTTTTAATAACTTTGAGTATGAATTAACTTTTACCAAAGAAGAGGTGGTAGAGCTTGGCGATTTTTCATCCTAGGGTTTGGTGTTCGCCGATAGCTCTTCTCTTTTGGCTTGAAGGAGTATGATCAAAAGAGAAAGATAAGACAATTTTAGTGGAACGAATCGAAAAAGAAAGATAAGACAATCTTAGCGGGACGGAGAGGATTTAAACATTTAATAGTTTTTATTAGGATGTTTTTATTGGACTGAAATTTGCTGGTCTGGTATGGTCTATTCTATTCTGGTCTGAACAGGTCTTGCTTAATTTGGTAAATGTTTGGTATCTGTTTATTTTATAATTATGGAAGTCGGTCTTAATTATTTGTTGGCAAATTATACCGTGGGATCGGCCCACCATCCGGACGGTGTGCCGATCCCAAAATGGAGCCGTTTTGATCATTAAAAATCAATCGTCCTCTCCTGACTTGAGCTCATCTCGGTCGTGAAAGCTGAGAGCGGAGAACTCACTCCAAACCAAAGGTGGCCGAAGTTGAGAGCGGTTAACACACCGATCGGCCTCAGAATCACGACACTGTCGTCCTATGATGTGCGACTTGAGATTTCGAACTTGAAAATTAAAGAAGCTGAATTAGAGCTCCTACGGGTGGGATTGGACTTCTGCAGAGATAGCCATCCATGGTTACTGTAGGGCAGGCGATCGGGAATGAGTTTTTGCAAGGGATTGAGTTTCTCTGAATTTAGTACTCCTAAAGGTGAGATTCGATTTTGGGATAGCTAGCCATCCATGGAAAAGCTACTGGAGGGGATTGAGATTGGGATTGGGATTGGGATTGGGATTGTGATTGGGTTCATGTAGGAGAAAGCCAGAGTTCTTCGTAGTTATTCCACATTTTTATTTATCATAGAAAAGTTACATTTGTAGTGGAACGATTTACATTTCCATTTATCTCAAGTTACATATGTATTAACACGAGTTACATGTCAACTTTTCTCAGCAAGTTACATCTTACTTAAACGTGATTTACATTTTTCATGATTCAAGTTACACCCAATATAATGCAAGTTATGCAACAAAATAAACCTTTGTTGTTCAAAGAAAAATTATTTTTAAAACAAAAATCATTTTTATAGCCCTGATATTAAAAACAAAACATATGCACTATTTATGTAAAATAAATGGGCAATTAGACCCCTTTTTTCATTATTTACATTCAAATATATGTTATGTTCCGTTCTAGACCACTTACGTTTCAACTTGATTGAAGTTACATTTCTTATCAATGCGAGTTACATTGAATTAAACATGAGTTATACCAGACTATTAAATAAAACAAAAAAGAGCCTTGGGAGCAGGGTGCTCACCGTGAGCCCATACCACGGTATACCAACTGGATTTGTTGAAGTCTGAGGTGTTCTCTTCTGATCTGGTCTAGTTAGTCCTAAATTGAATATTGTTCAAATAAAAACATCCTAATTTGAGCCCGTTCAACCGACCAACGATAGACTAGCTCTTAAAAATTTCTAATTTGTTGAGACCGGATACAGGATGCCGTTACTCTATAAAACGTCAATAGCTCATCCCAAACCATCCAATATCTTGTACCAATCGAGTATTTGCAACCCTCTCTCTCATCGTATTATTTACAACTTCCTCATATATTGGCTTTGATCTGATCCTTTTCCGAATTTCATTCACGTTTCAGTTATACACAATATACATACGAAGTATTTTTTTAATCTTCATTCTTATTATCTCTTCTTGAATATCTGATCCTCACCAAATTTTCTTTAACTCTTTTATAATGGTACACTCCCCATTCTTGTCCTTCAACCCTTGATCTTTTCTTTTTCTTCTTCTCTGCTCATCAATTTAGTTATTATATTATTCTTGTTATAACTTATATTCATATTCTTTTACAAAAATCTCTTTTTTTCATGCACAGGCTATGGGGGATGAAAACAACAGTGTAACATATGAAGAGGTAAGTGTAAAACTAGGAATCTTTGACTCTTATAGTAATATAGTATTTCTCACATTTTAAGGTTATAATACATGATTGTTGAATACTGACTGATGATGTTCTGAAAAACGTTTGAGTAATGATTCAGGAATATGTGTTAAATTCGAGAGGAATGAAGCTTTTTACGTGTAAATGGCTACCTGGGCAATCTGAGCCTAAAGCTTTGATCTTTCTCTGCCATGGATATGCCATGGAATGCTCTGTTTCAATGAGAGGTTTGTTTTCTCCAAAAAAAAACAGCTTTTTTTTAGAGGTTTGTTTTCTCCAAATTCCAAGTGGTTTAACCTTAAGAAAAAAAAAACAGGGATGTCTATAAATCCAGTGTTTTTTTTTTTAAATTTCATTCCTTTTCTTCATGTTATTTTACTCTGTGATGTTGGTTATGTTTGTTCTATAATAAACCCAATTCTCATATTTATTACTCTACCCAATTTGAATTTTTAAAATGGAAAAATTTCAAAACAGGAGTGTTATATTTTTATTCCTAAATACTCCATACTACATAGGAGATTACAGCCAAACTTGAAAAATAATGTCTATTTAAAACTTTGCAATCATAACGCTTGGAATTCACAAATAAGTTTATAACTATTTAAAACAATTTTTTTAAAATTGTAAAAACAAAATAATCTTTTATGGGTTTCAAATATGATTTGTACATATAATTATGCCTTGGATAATGTTTTGGTCGGTTCTTTGTCAGATTTGATCAAAAGAGCCCGTTTTAATTCACAAAGCCATAAGCAATAAACTAAAATTTATGTGGTTTGGTGATTTTGGCCGGTTTTAATTTTGGTGAATAGACTTCTCAGTTGGTTTTTTTGTCAGTTTGGGTTTACCGGCCCCTACACAATCACCCCGAACGGAGCTTTGGTTTATTGGTACCTTTTTGGAAAGAGTTGAAAATAATGAAATTTGATAAATATGTGTAACTAATCATGAATATAATATGCATACATAGGTGCTGCGACAAGGCTTGTGAAAGCAGGGTATGCAGTTTATGGCATGGACTATGAAGGGCATGGGAAGTCAGCTGGTTTGCTTGGTTACGTTCCCAGCTTTGATGCTGTTGTTAACGATTGTTCTGATCATTACTCCAAAATTTGTGGTATGCATACCATATCAAACAAATAACCAAATTTGACAACTTTCCTTACCTAGTTCTAAAATATCATGACATCTACATTTAAACTAATAAATACTTCATCTCAATTTGAATTTTTTAGTTAACCAAGTTCAACTTTGCCCAATTATATATACGTAGTATATTTTTATTGGAAGTTATTTATAAATAAAGATGATACGAAAATATATATTCAATGTTAAAAGTACTTTAATAAAAGTATGAAATTCATAACATCTAAATATTATATTAATCAAAATCATGTTCTAAAATTTACCACCATTAACTTGAACAGTCAAATATGACAAAGGGACAGATGTAGTACATACTTCCTCGGTTCCTCCGTTCTTAAATAAATGCAACAATCAAGATTTCACACTTGCTGAGGCACAACTTTGACCATTAATATATATAATTCTCTATTAGTAAAAATTTTAAAAAAAATCAGATTTTTAAAATTTAAAACAAGACAAATTTAATAGTATTTTTTTCAAAAAAGTATATTAATACATCAATAAATAAAATGTAGTCAAAGTAGAACACGTGAATAGTATAAAAATTGGCATGTTGCACTTATTTAGGAATAGAGGTAATATATGATTAAAGATATTTTCTTCTTTATCTTCTTCATGCGTCTATTAAAAATTCAATCACATACTTTCTCTAGTCATAAATAAACTTCACACTTAACTTTATTTAATTTTTGTGGGGGTATGATGGTAAAGTCAAAAACAAAAATTTCACTTTATTAAAAACCGTAAAGTTAAACTATGAAATTTATTTAGGACCGGTAGGAGTAACCTTTTATCATGTTATTTGAAGAATAAGTCAATATTTGACAAGAAATTGTATGGGACCAATAAAATATTTCTTACAAAGTTACTAGCATATATATGGAGTAATTTATTGACTAGAAACTGTAAAATAAGGGGCCGGGTCAAACGTAGAACGTGTTGCAACAAGCTGGCGACTTTGATTCATGCAAACACGACTTGGTTGAGCCCATAATCTCACAATATTATTATACTAGTAGTTTAAAATATAACTTATTATATTTGTAGAGCAATTCAAGCCAGCCGGCAGTTACGTACGTGGTTAATTTAACGGCTAACGTAACTTTATGGGCTTTAATTTGCTTAGTTTGAGGATCCTGGGATTTGACTAAGCTAGCTAGGATGTATGTCTGTATGAATGAATGCAGAGAGGAAAGAAAACAAGAAAAAGATGAGGATGTTGCTGGGAGAATCAATGGGAGGAGCTCTTGCTCTTCTCCTCCATAGAAAGCAACCTCATTTCTGGGATGGTGCTGTCCTGGTTGCTCCCATGTGTAAGGTCAGTCACTTCCACTTTTTTTTGTTTTTGTTTTTTTTTACCCTAGGGGAGGGGATTTGGGGAGCCTGGGGTAAACTGGATTCAATCTCACTCCATTGAGAATTGAACCCGGGACCTCCTATAAGGGAGAGTGAGTCAGCGACCAGCTGGGCTGGACCGCTTCCTCACTTTCACTTTTGTTTATATATACAGAAATTAAAGTTCTCTACGATATGTTTGGGCACACCATTTAAGAGTGAAATATCAAGAATAATGAATAGTGTAGAAAAAGCAGAAAAATTGTGTAAAAGTATGAAATAGAAAATAAAACATAAAAAAACGTAAGAGTAATTGAATTTTTTTAAAAGAAAATAACTTACTAAAAAGGGAAAATGTAGAAATCTTTTAAATATATTCAAAAAAATTAAAAGTGTAATAAATTTTAAAATAAGAGCGAGTACAATTTAAAAGTTTCCCGTACAAATGTAATTATACCCGTTCGAATGCATAATTTTATGTGACGGAAATACATGGACACGTGCCCGCACTTTAATCCATTTCCAAAGACCGCAATGCATCTTCACGCTCAAATTAAAGAATAATTAAAATACATCAAACTTTGAATGGGTGTGAGATGAACATCTCAACTTGCAAATGTAATTTAAATACCCCAAACTTTATATAAAAAGTTATTTTAACACCATAGTCAAGTATTATTTTTTTAAAAAATGTAAATTTATGGTGTTAATTGCATAATTTAAAATATTTTATAATTCTTGAAGACACAATTGATATTCTAAACTTCCATTTCGAAATAAATAATGTTACCCCCAATCCATATAATTGCAACACTTTCAATTTGCTATTTTAAATTATGCAATTAACTTAATAAATTTACAGTTTTGAAAGAAATAATACATGACAATGGTGCGAAAATAACTTTTTATATAAATTTTGAGGTATTTAAATTATATATATATAAGTTTGGGGGTACTACCTGACACCCTTCAAAGTTGGAGTATTTTTATTATTGTTCCCTTTTATTTATTTACTTATACCAAAATGCCTTCGTGTTTTCTCCTTTAAATTCAAAATCTGATACCCTGTATCCGATTTTTTTTTGAATCATAATCTCTATGTACACATTTTGAATGAGAAGATTTTGGTTTAATTTTCTTTATTACATTTTTTTTTTGAGAATTTCTTACCTGTTTATTAAATAAGAGAAAATACATGATAGAGGGATTAGACCAAAACCTACCGAATTAAAAGACATAAAGATAAATAATAGTATCAAATTTCACAATACCTAGAAACTTACTGAACATGACATGATTGCTATCAAAAGAACTAAAGTTTAGAGCTACAAAGTATGCAGCTTTATTAGAATCTTTTCTTACACAGCCGAAATTGAGGTTGTTACCTCCTCCATAAAAGTAAGAATGAATCGAGTGTATCAGTTTTATGATTTAGTGACTGTAACTATGGTAATATTGTATTAAATTGGATCAAAAAAGACATTTTCGTAAACAATTCAAAATTCTCCTCAATTGCAAAAAGTGCAACACCATCTTTAAATAGTGCATCATATGCGTGCTTGAGAAATTCCTCTAAGTATAACCGTCCACCATATAAAAACATGTTGAGATGCGAACGTTATGGTGCATTAGAAAATGACTAAAAAGATGAATAATGCAATGGGTGTAGGTAATTGAATAAAATTCTTTTGCCGTCACAAAAAAGGTTTCATATGAACTAAAGGTGAAGTCTTTTCATTTCACACTATAATTAAACACGCATATAGAATTTTAATTAAATGAGAATGTCATTCAATGGAAAAAATTATGAATGTGAATTATGCAAACAAAAATATGCACCGTTGTGAATTACAGAATGTGATGATATTTTTATAAATCAATTACTAATTTTTTCCTACTATTTATTAGATCTTGATCAGAAATGTGTACTACGGAGTATAATACGTAGTACTTCATTTTTATTTCTTAAGGAAGGAAACGTTTTTACCATAACAAACTCTACATATATAGCAAAATAATTATAAAAATGCTACTTGTACACAAGAATGACAACAAGTAATTTTAGCATAGACATATATAGCAACACAAATTAATTAATGATAACAAATACTAATTTAGTTTTGTAAATTTAGTTATACCAACTTGAAACAAGAAAGAAAGAAAGGAGAATTTTAAATCCAATAAATGCTAACTAAAAATGAATTTCCTCGATCATTTTTCTTTTTTGATCATCAACTCCAAAAACTTTATTAATTTAGGTCATTAGCCAACTGGCTTTGAATACATGCCGGAACACTCGAATACGTACTAACATGGTCTGGGACTAAAACATGCACTCTAGCCAAAGCATGAGACATACCGTTTACAATAAGAGACAGAAAAATTACTCTTATTAACTAACAAACTCCTAATATCATCAATAATTAGGTGGAGATAAGAAAAGCCTTCTCCTTTTCGAACACCATTAACCACAGCTAAAGCATCTGACTCAAATTCTACTGTTTCCCATCCAGCCTACATAGCTCCAATAACAGCCTCCTTGAGACCAAAAGCTTCCGTTTCAGCTGCCGTCCAACCAGCTCTTACTGAACCACCTCTTGCTTTCAAAAAATTCCCCTCCTCATCTCTAGCAATCCAACCTCAAGCCCGTATTTTACCCGCCTCGTTGACCGCACCATCAACATTTATTTTAATAGCACCACTCGCCGGTTTCTTCCACTTATCTGCTTCTCTCGGCCCTGCCTGTTCTGCCTCCCTTGGTACAGCTTGAGCTTCTTTCCAACTAGCTAACATACATGCCGCGCCATTACTGACATTTGAAACATCATGTTTTTGATCCTTCCATCCACCACTATTCCTTCTTTTCCATATACTCCATAAAAGCGCTATAAATCTCTCCCTTTTCAACCTATCCCCGTCTGCTATCCGCAATTTAAACCAATCTTCAACCGATTTGTCCTCATCCATATTAATAGCCGCAGCCCTCCAGACATCTTTAGCCTAAGAACAGCCCCGAAAGGCATGATCGACGGATTCTGCCTGGTTGCCACACAGTTTGCATCCATTTTGGATTGACAATCCTCTATGACGTAAATTATCCACCGTTGGAATCGAACCATCCAAGACCTGCCAAATAAAATATTTAAATTTAGGAGGTACCTTAGCTTCCCACAGGTGCTTCCATGTAACGGCCGAACTGCTCTGGAATTCCCCCATCTACAACCTATAACAACTCTTTACTGAAAACATGTCATAGCCCTCCCCTTTCCACCAGTAACCATCGGCCCTGTCGGTGATGCTAATAGGGATACTCAAGATTCTCTCTCGGTCAACTTCATTGAAAAGAGAACTAATTATTTCCCTATTCCATTCCCTTCCAGTGGTATTTCGTAGAGCCACCACATTCATATCCCGCACTCTCTGCGGTTTAGCTGATACAATACGGCCTTCATCTTCTCCTGGTAACCAAGCATCAGCCCACACTTGGACCTCCACTCCATTACCCACCCTCCGACGAATATTTGTTTTTAAAATATCCTGAGTCTAAAAAATGCTTCGCCAAACAAAAGAAGGATTATTTCCTAGCTTTGCCTGCAGAAAATTAGACCGAGGATAATGCCTTGCCTTCATAACTTTCCCCGTCAAACTATTCTCATCATCGATTAATCACCACCGTTGTTTTTCCAGTATAGCCAGATTAAATTCCCTGACTCTCCTGAATCCTAACCCACCTGCTTCCTTCGGCTTACACATGTTCTGCCAGCTTCTCCACCTTAAACCTTTCTGGTCTAGCTTAGACCCCCTCCACCAATAAGCTTCTCAATCTCATCACTTAAATCCCTGGGCAATAAAAAACATTCATAGCATAATTAGGCATAGCTTGAATAACATTTTTTAACAATACTGCTCTCCCTGCTGCTCTGGATAAAATTCGATTATTCCAGCTCTTTATCCTGCTAAGAATACAATCCCTCAAATATCCCAAAATAGCTGACGTATTCCTTCCCACCAGTGCAAGTAACCCGAAACAGTTGCCATGCGCTCCATCCGAGGTGATCCCCAACACCTGGCGGCACTGCTGTCGGGTCTGATCAGCCGTATTCGGCCTAAAATTAATTGATGACTTCAAAAAGTTCACCTTCTGTCCTGATAACATCTCATAATTGTTCAGAATATTCTTGATCGTACTCGTCTCCCCTGGATTAGATCTGAAAAATAAAAAGCTATCATCTGCAAAAAAAATAAATGTGAGACTTTAGGCGCACCCCGACAAACTGCCACCCCATGTAAATCTCCACCTGTTTCGGCCCTTCTGATCAACAAGCTCAATCCTTCCGCTACTAAAATTAACAGGTATGGCGACAGAGGGTCACCCTGTCTCAGACCCCTCCCTGGCTTTATTGGCCCAATGTTATCTCTATCAAATTGGACATAATAATTAACCGAGGACACACATTCCAGAATAAGGTCCGTCCACCTTTCTGAGAAACCCATCTGATTCATTATCAACTTCAAATACTCCCAGCTGACTCTATCATATGCCTTACTCATATCCATCTTCAGGGCTGCAAATCCTTCCTTCCCTTTCTGCTTTCGCTTCAGAAAATGTTGCGTCTCAAAAGCAACCATGATATTATTATCCACAATGGATCTGCCCGGAATAAAAGCACTCTGGTTTTCACCAATCAAACTCCCCAGTAAGCCTTTCATCCGATTAGCAATAACCATAGGGAAAAAAACTATACACCACATTGCAAAGAGCTATTGGTCTCCAATCCCCCATATTCTCGGGTTTATCCTTCTTTGGAATTAAGATAATATTAGTGATATTCAGTTCTGGAACAATGGTACCTGAGTTAAAACTGTCCCTGCACAGCCTCACAATTTCAGGCCCCACAATCCCTCAATACTTTTGAAAGAAAGCTGGATTCATCCCATCAATTCCTGGTGCTTTATTTGGATGCATATAAAATGCCGCAATACGAACT